TTCTAGAATTTCCTGATTCTGGATGCATCCCTTGCTGTTTCTTGGCCACATGGCTCCCAATTTTCATCTATGAAATGCTGGAGGGTATGTTCATGGGAAAATCCAGGCCAGTCTTTCTGTCGACCAGAGGCTGGCAATGTTAGCAACACGTGGTTCCCTATAGCTGTTAATCTATGAAATATTGGAGGCTATGCCCTGGGAACTGGGGCCACTGACTGCAACAAAGTCATTTCCAAGTAGGTACAGAGCCAGCATGGTGTAGAGGTTTTATAGGTTGATTTTTTGACTAAAATTTCTGGACTTAATATGAATGTATACATATATACAGTCACCCCTCCGTTCTCTCAGACTTAAAGTCCATGGTTTTGCATATTCACAGAGGGGCAACCTCCATCCAAATTATTAGGGTACGCCCGCAGGGGTGCATCCCATTCAGGCCTATGCAAATCTTTGTTTTTGCTGGGGAGGTATCTATCTATCTATCTATCTATCTATCTATCTATCTATCTATCTATCTATCTATCTATCTATCTATCTTTGTTGCCGTTCATGTGTGTCTTCAAGTAGTTTCTGACTTACAGTGACCCTAAGGAATCACAGGGTTTTCTTTGCAGTTTCTCCAGAGGGGGGGTTGTCATTGCCATCTTCTGAGGCTGAGAGAGTGTCACTCACCCAGTGGGTTTCCATGGCCAAGCAAAGGATTTGAACCCTGGTCTCTTGAGTCATAGTCTAACACTCAAAACACTACACCACACTGGCTCTATATTTATCATCTCTATCTGTCTATCTATCTTTGTTATGTGCCTTCAAATTGTTCCTGCCTTATGTCAACTCTAAGGTGAACCCATCATGAGTTTTTCTTGGCAGGTTTCTTCAGAGGGGGTTTGCCATAGCCATCCTCAGAGGCTGAGAGAGTGTGACTTGCCCAGGGTCACCCAGGGGGTTTTATGGTCAAGCTGGGAATTGAACTAACCCTCAAACCACTACACCATGGTATCTATCTATCTATCCATCCATCTCTCTATCTCTCTATCTGTCTGTCTCTGTATCCGTCTCTCTCTCTCTCTATCCCTCCCTCTATCCCTCTATCTATCTATCTATCTATCTATCTATCTATCTATCTATCTATCCGTCCATCTATCTCTCTATCTCTCTATCTGTCTGTCTCTGTATCCGTCTCTGTATCTGTCTCTCTCTCTCTCTATCCCTCTATCTATCTTTCTCTATCTATCTATCTATCTATCTATCTATCTATCTATCTATCTATCTATCTATTGGATTTATACCTTGCCTTTCTCCTGGGTGGGAGTTTCCTACAAGTGGTATCCACACCAGTTAACAGTAAGAACTGGCTCTAATTGTGAATGCAAACGTGAGATGAAGGGTTGTTAAATAATCTACATAAAATGGTCTTGAGAAGGCCTAAGCTGGGAGCCAAGATGGAAAATCCAAAAGAGCCAGGAAGATAGCTTTCTCTAAAATGCTTGGCAAAGAGGGGGGAAATTCAACGTTGACAATGCGCTGCCTATTAGGAGACTCTTCCCACTTCTGTATTCTCTGATTAGATTTGCTGATTGAAAGCTGAGAAATAAAAGGGCAACGTTTTGGAAAAGTTCATTTTATACCGAGTGTTTTTACCTGCAAGCTTGTCTTAGGATGCTTTGTGAATTTTAATGACGCCTTTATATTGTGTGCAGCTCTTAAATGTGTTTACATCAAAAGACTCTTTTCTTTTTTTAAAAAAATGCATACGGTTGAATGAAAACCATCAAATTAGATCAGACAAAATAGATAATCACAAGTATATCAGCCAGCCTACCTGTGGGTCCCTTTGCTACTGCCTTGATTAAAAATTAAAATATTTCACAGGAGCGCCGCTGCATGCGCCACACCAGAGATAATTTACATTTCCCCCATGGTGGTCTTGGCATTTCTGTTTCTTTTGCTCTCCCCTCGGCTGTTGCAGAAGGTTTGAAAGCCATTTGTCAAGGATGTGGCCACCGGTTGTGGATTCTGCTAAAGGGCATGTTGCTGTCACAAACAGGAGCCATGTATTAAGCGGAGCATGTACTTGGAGACCTTCCAATGGAACACCCAATTCTGATATATATATATTTTTAAAAAGAGATTTTCAACAGTAGGTCTACATTACAGGTCAAGTCTTTAGCTGGAAACCCGTTATCGTATTTGCTGGAATCCTATATCACCATGGACATTACGTACCTTTACACATACTTATGTAGCAGAGACACTAATAAGAAACCCTATCAGAAATCCACCAAACAGTGATCCCTTTATTGGCCAACCAAAATGCACAACATACACGTTGCAAGCTTTCGAAGCTCCACCGGCTTCTTCTTCACCAGGCAAGGTGTTAAAAACCATACAGGAGAAAAAGAAATTGAAGATGTTAGCCATAGACCTGCATTTTGCTGTTTTTGTTCCTATGGAGGGGTATCTCTTGTAGGTTGGTATCTCCTCCTTCTGGGCATGTGGCTACTGGGAGATTCACAAAATCCAGGAAATTTAACATCCATTTGCAACACAAAAAAGATACGGTAGCTTCCTTTGCAATCCAATATGTCTCCATTTACTCCTGGATGTTTACTAAGAAACCCTGTTAGTGAACTGAGATACGTAACAGGACACCGGCAAGGATGCCTGATGCACCTTGTTGCCTGAGGTATGTTTGGATTGATGCAATGCACATCCTGTTGTGCATTGCTCCCATTGCACTCATCTAATATCCACACCTCTCACCCATCCACTTATTTTTGCATCCACAGCAGAACAGTAACGCATGGATGTCTTCATCCTGTATCTCATCTAATTTATGTGGTTGGACCAAGTCAGGTGAGAATTGCCTTGATGAAACCTCACCTGCCGTGTAGCAATCAGCCTTTGGTTGCCCAGACTATGGACGTTATCACACGCGGGTCTCAAAGCGGCAAGAAAGCTGTATGGAATCAATCCAGAACTATACCGGTATAGACCCCACAAGACGGAAATTGCTATCAGACGCAACTAGCATCATTCCGCAATAAACGAAAGCAGCATCATTGCGGTATCATTCTGGTCGCGCAAATGTAATTCCCCAGAAAACCGGCATTCAAAAGAACGGGGATGATGCCGCATTGGGACGGGGATGCGACGGGGTTCTCTGTGACATTGTGTGAACACACGGGAAAAGGAACCGCAATGGGACGGGGATGGGACGGGGTTCTCTGTGACGTCATGTGAACACATGGAAAAAAACCCCGCAATGGGACAAGGATGGGATGGGGTTCTGTCTGCTTTAGACCCCGTGTGATAAGGTCCTGTGTTTGGGACAAGGGAAGGTTGAGGGACTGCCTTCCATTCTCCCTGCAGTTCTCCAGGAAGAGAGGAAGAGAGCAAAGGCATCCTTCTTCTTTTCTCTCTGTTCCCGAAGAACCAGAGATGGGAGGCAGTCCCTACTTACTCCTTGGGCACCGGCCATTTAACCACCATAGTAGTGCCCAACAGGGCTTGGTAGTGGCTAGTGAAAGAGAAGTCTTGGATGGACTAGTGGATAGCTCCTTGTGACTTGCCCAAAACTTAAGACCTGCATATAATATTTCATGAATGTGTGTGTGTGTGTGTGTGTGTCACTAACAGAGTTCTTCCCCATCCTTCTTCTGAGAGGCTTGATTTGTCTCGTTTCCTACTGGTACAAGTGGACAAAGTGCAACCCTTCTCTGAAAAGCTCTATCAGCCTCCAGCCAGCTCCGCGTTGGCTTCCGTTTCATTTTCATGCTGATTGCTATATCCATTTCCCACAAGAGGCTGGCATTTGCAAATTGAATTTGTCACTCTGGATTCATCAGATTATGGGAAATGGAAGCACACCGCTAATACCCAATCTGTGGCAAAATGGATGTTTGCAAAAGCCGGCGTTATTAAATATTTTATTTTTCTATTATTGGGGAAACGCGCAGCGGTATTTGTATTTTAATACCACGCGCCTGAAGCCAAACCGACAGCCTACATAACAGGCTGTAAATGCTTTGTAAAAAGTGGGAAATGACACAGACAAACAGAAGTCTGTGAATTAAATCACTCCAAACTATTTAACCTTCCCTCCTGCCCAAAGCGAGTCATCATGCCTAGAAACAACAATGACACTCTGGTGTTCTGGCAGATTTATTGCAGTTGGGAATGGCATGCGGTGTGTGTGTGTGTGTAGATATAGCCGCCATTGCCATTGAATTGTTTTCCCAGGAATTACATATGCTCCAAAGTAGAGATGGTGAGCTTCAACTACTGGCCAAAACCAGCCCAGTCCCTGTCCTGTGTCTACAAGCAATGAATGTCTAAAGAGACAGATGCTCCTAAGGGAAAAAGTCCATCCAGCCCAGGTCATGCACAGGTAATCCAAGAAGATGAAGGGAGGCAGAGGGACAAAGTCTCAGCCCATCCGGATTTCATTACGCAAAGCCAAAAGTCCAAATATCCAAAGCCATTAAAAGGGATGCGACAAGGAATTGTACCTTGGATCAAACGTAGTTCAGAATAGGGACTACTGTCCTTGTAATGTTCCTCAACTCTTGATCTGGACTGTGTTTGTTGACTCTGGATGCCATTTACCTGACTTGAGGACATTATCACACGTGGGCCAGAAAGCAAAAATAAAAGTGGAAATG